CTCTCTCTCTCTCTCTCTCTCTCTCTCTCTCCAGTACTAACCTGTGAAGTTGGCGCCTTGATGCAGGTACCTCGAAGATGGAGCTGGAGCTATGGCACCACAGGTAAGTACCGATGGCCTCCGCCAGCCATCTCCCTCCACGGCAACTACTACCACCTACTAGCGCCCAGCGTTGAAGACTACAACTATGGCTATGGGCGCCCAGTGCCGAAGACTACTACTGCCTAGCGCTGAAGACTACTGCAGCGCTCCTCCTGAGTGCTGCGGCCRAAATCTGAAGACTACCGTCCTACTCTCCAACTGCCTACCCGTTCAGTGCCTGAAGCTCCTATGTACTATCACRGGTGCCWCCTGACTCGGGCGAGCAGTCYAGGAGGCTGCTCTTGCCAATAATGCCGAAGGGAGGCAGGGGCTGCAGCTGCAGCTCCTGGTCGTGCTCTTGCCAATAATGCCGAAGGGAGGCAGGGGGCTGCAGCTGCAGCTCCTGGTCGTGCTCTTGCCAATAATGCCGAAGGGAGGCAGGGGGCTGCAGCTGTAGCTCCTGGTCGTGCTCTTGCCAATAATGCCGAAGGGAGGCAGGAGCTGCAGCAGCTCCTGCTCGTGCTAATGCCAATAATGCCGCAGAGAGGCAGGGGCTGCAGTTGCAGCTCCTGCTCGAGCTGGCGTGGGAACAGGCCAGAAATAGCCTGTTCCGAAACCCAGTTTTCGTGCCTGAATCTTAGGGCAGGTCGAAACAAATGAGGGCCTAAAAATAGYCCAGGGCCTAAGAATAGCCCTCCGTTTCAGGCTGGAAAAACTTTGGGTCTGAAAGACCCAGAAATAGGCTGAAACGGAGTAGGGCCTGCAGGCCCTCGTTTTTCAGTTTTCATGCTGAAACGACCGGGGCCGGTAGCTCCTAAGTTTTAGGCTTTAAGGCTGAATGTCCGGGACGGGTCCTAAAGGGCCCGTGTGGCTACGCAGTCTGCCACAGAATGGCATGTGCTGAATCGAAATGGTGCAAAAGGTGTCGTACCTTGTTTCACACGGAAGACAAGTGCAGACGAGCTGGTAGACGCAATCGAGGAGATCAATCCACGAATCAACCGCAAGGTGTATCGACAACAGAGGGAGTTGCAAATGCAAGATCGATATACCAAGGTGCTCTGCGGGCTCCTGGGCTATCGACACAACAAGATCCTCCTCTGATGGTAGCGACCACAGCTGCAGCCACGTCATCCAATGTCCCTGGAGGGTCTGTAGCTCGTAACAAGCCTGTGTTTTCTCCAGGCGTAATTACCGGGCAATTCGGTGTGGTAGGACTATGTCAGATGTTGGCCGGAGGAGTGGACCCTATGTTCAACGCCACATGGGCTGCTTATCTTCAAGGACTTCCTTCACATCCCTTGTTACTCCAGGGTGGGCCGCCCCTAGACGCTGATCTAGGGATGAGGCCCTCCTGTGTTAATCTCCATGTCTTTATTCCATGGAACCAAGGGCTAAGAGGTCCTCCTCAAGGCCAAGCCACAGGGAATGTCCCTTCTCTATTCCAGCCCACATTAGTGTTATCCGGGGCTCGTCCTTTAAGGTTGGACGTCGGATGAGAGGTGAATCGTCGGGCAAACAGCGTAGACTCAGCGGAGAAGGCAGTGTTGACATCCATATGGATGGGTTGCATCCAGAATCATCAGGAAGTTCGGACGCTGGGTCTACACACACGGGTGGGCCTTCAACCCTTGTTGGGGCAGCAGGTAAGCGTAAAAGCTCGCAATCTAGACTGGAAGTCCTATCGAGGGGCCAATCAGTCATGGAGACGAGACTTCTTCCCCTAATGTGTGTAGCTACGAGGGATTCTTTTTGGGTAGTTTCTTGGTTGGGTCTGGATGGTACTCGAATCTGTTGAATAATATTTGCCCTGAATCCCCTATGCCAAACGCCTGTGTAAGTTTGGCTCGTAATCTATTTTAGAATAGACTTTCATTTCGTATTATTGCGGAGATCACAATGACGAGATTCCTCATGGATGTCGATGGCAAACGGGTTCAGTTTTTTTGTCCTTTGTTCGATGTTCGATTTCTCCCTAGCCAACTTGAACAATTGGAGCAAAGGGGACTAGTACGGTTGATTCCGCTGACCTGGTTTCAGGAAGCCAGGAAGGCGGATTTGTGTCGTATCATGCTTTCCCCTAGTCTATCTGTTGAATTTCCGTATGAAATTAATTCAAAGTTGGGGAAAGATAAGAAGTTGGACTCCCCATTTCTCAAGAGAGCCTTAACTGACCCCTGGCCGGCTGAGACTGTCCCAGCTCCTGGTCTGACTGGATAATTACCCAGGATGGGCAGGCTTATAATAGCAACATGAAACATTCGAGGTTTAGGAGATTCGTCGGGCCGTAACAAGAAGGGTCGCTTGAAGAGTTAGATGCATGAAAATAAGATTGATGTGGTTTGTCTACAGGAGAGTAAACTGTCTGAGGAGAAAATAATTGAATTAGGAGCATGTTGGGATGGCCCACAGATATGGACGCCAACGAGGGGATCAAAAGGAGGAGTTACTATATTGATTCATCGAGATTTGGATGTGGAAACAATAAATTTCTTCGCTAATCTATGGGGAAGATGGGTGTGGGTTAAAATCTGGCTTAATGGCCAGGAGTGGGTAATACTCTCTATCTACGCACCTAACGATTGCAATGAACGAAAATCCTTCTTTTCAGACTTACCGCTGCTTATTCTTGACTGTGTGAACCTTGTTATTGCCGGAGACTGGATTTCTTCCCTGGATTGTTTGGATAAAGTACGCGGTAGCAGTGATGTGAAAGTTTTGACAGAGGTAATGACGAAACTAGACTTATTAGAACCCTACAGTCTACTCCACCCTGGTAAACCAGGATACACCTGGTTCTCCAATACCCGGGAGGCTAAAGGGATAATTTGCAGAAGACTTGATTATTTTTTCCTCTCAACTGCGGCATGGTATGCCACGGTCCATCTAAATACAGATACTCAGACCCTCTCTGATCACAAAGCAGTCATCGCTAACTCCTGTAAGTTGGAAAGAGGATCTGGTTATTTCAGAGTCAATACTCAAACACTACAAGATCCCAGTATCGGGGACTGGATGACCAGATTCTGTTAAGGTTGGGAACAAAGTTTGGAATCCTTCACTACCAAGGATGCTTAGTGGGATGCTGCATCTCAAATCTTCTCTAAGCACCTGAGTATTTTTTCACATATATTAGATGCAAAGAAAAAAAAACATGAAGATCGAATATGCAGAACATTGGATGATTTCTCATCCAATTTATAACCTATTTTGGAGTCCTATCAGGGAAAAGTGCATGGCAGAGTAGGATGACTATCAACAAGAATAGTTGGACATCTGGTCGAAGAGGTTGAAAGTTAAAGGTGCGGTCGTTTACGACCGTATGACTAGAGAATCCTTCCTGAAACTGCTACCAAAGCGTTTAGTTCACTCCATGAGTGAGCTCATGCACCCGTTCGATCACGATCTGCCGACCGCTAGGGAACAGTCTCAATTATGCGAATATGTTGCCATGTATTATCAGGACATCCTCACAACGAGGCGTCAATACGAGGATATCACCACCGATCTTTTGGAAGACTTTGATTATTGGTCTCATTTTTCGGCCAGATTGTCAACACAAGGGAAACTAGATTTAGATCGACCAGTAACAGTAAAGGAGACATGAGAAACACTGAACTCCATGGCTAAGGGGAAAGCCCCTAACGATGACGGGTTGTCAGTAGAGGTCTACTTGATCATTTGGGACTCTGTTAAGGAGAGCTTAGTAGACATTTATAACCAGGTACTACTGGGAGGAAACCTATCGAAAGGTATGAGGAACGGTATCATTTCGCTCCTATACAAGAAGGGGGATCGATCTGAGATAAGGAATTGGAGGCCAATTTCGGTCCTTAATGTGTCATATAAATTACTAGCGAAAATTTTGGCCAGACGCTTAGGTCGGTATTTACCTTCTTTGATTGCCAACGACCAAGCAA